TAGAACATGGCGGTGGACACATCGTAACTGAAGGTAAACACTTTGCACATTGACATTGTCTCAGAAATCAGTTGGTTGAGCGAACTAATAGAACATGGCGGTGGACACATCGTAACTGAAGGTAAACACTTTGCACATTGACATTGTCTCAGAAATCAGTTGGTTGAGCGAACTAATAGAACATGGCGGTGGACACATCGTAACTGAAGGTAAACACTTTACACATTGACATTGTCTCAGAAATCAGTTGGTTGAGCGAACTAATAGAACATGGCGGTGGACACATAGTAACTGAAGGTAAACACGTTACACATATCTTTAACAGGATTATTCCAACATGGTTGACCCACTTGTGTGCTTCCTTATTTAATAAAAATAACGTCATTTGTAAACTAATATTTGTTCTAGTGTGGAGCGTTAGGTGTTGCAACCAAAACACAATAAATTCTTTAAATATTATAAGATAATAAGTAAAAAACAGAGCTTGTTCTCGTTACATCATAACAGTAAATAAGTGTTAGATCATCGATTTAGACGTGACAATTATCAATGCAATTATATCCATTTCGAGCAGTGCTGTTTTTTCTTCGCACACAGGTGCACGTTTTGGGGAAAACATGTTTGTTCGAGAGGTGTTATTACGTCACAGCTTCTCCACTGGCTCGGCGGCAAGTTTGTAGGCTTACGACCCAAATATCGGGTTTCGATACCCGTGGTGGGCAGAGCACAGATAACCCATGGTGCAGTTTTGTGATGAACAAAACAAACCCAAAATACGTCACAAGAAATAGTCTTCTACGTCTCTATAAAATACAAAAAGACAACAACAAGTTTGGATAAATGTACCTCACTAAATAATTTTCATGACAAAATATAGTTATTAATTATAGTAACTGTGAAAACTGATTATTTGAAAGTTCTCAGTTTGAGAGGTTGGGATTGGGGCTTAGTGGTTGGCTTGTTGGGCTACAAATCAGAAGATTCGAGCCAGCGATACGTCGCTGAACACACTCCGTACTTTCAGTTATGCATTACAAAAGTGGCAGTTAGTCGCACTATTTAGTAGGAGCAGCCATATAGGTGGCGGGTGCTACTGACTGTCTGTCTTTCCTATAACCAGGTTAAAGACAGCTGTGCCTGTGCGTCGGAGTCTCTGACCTGGTAGTTAACCATTGTATCGCATTAGGAGACGTTCAAGTTGAAAATACAAAACTCCTAATTTAAAACTGAATAATTTTCTTCAGGTAATCCTTTAAAATATCCGTTTCTAATTCTGTATTATTTTCACATATTTCGAAAAGAAAATGGTCAATGTAAAGAGTTCGGTCTTCTTGTTAGGATATGTATTCTTATTCTGAAAGCAAGGAGAATACTAGAACAAGAACAAGCGATTCTAAACACTACTCCACGAATGCGCAGTTCAAGAATGTATAAAGTTTCTGAGGCGCTTCGTGTATTCTGTATCGCTTATTTGTTTGCACTCTTGAATGCATAACAGAATCAAAACAATAAATCCAGTTTTAAATACGTTAATTTTAGCAGTTGTGACGCTTGGTTAATTAAATCTAAGAGTAAACGAACTCTCATGTTTATACTAGAACATTAAAAACTGTACATGTTTGACGTTGAACAGAGAAAAACATTTTGTGTTTGCTTGAAGATCGAAAAACAGATTCATAACTACAGTAAACTTTCAGTTTAAATCGACGTTATCGCTGTAGATGGCGCTGATGATTGAAGACGCTATTTTGAAAATATTTTCGTATTTTAGGAAACGTTTCGATTACTGACGCTGTAAAGTCCAGCCTATCACAGCACTCAACACTCGTGACCCTCCAAGAACGTGGTACAGTAGAGGTAGTCAGACTTGAACTGGACGAAAACGAGTTGTCTCACCTGAACCTCAGGTTGCTGACCAGAACTATACAAGAAGCAGCAATCCATATGAGACTATATCACTATGGCAACCAAGCGCTGCAGTTGTTAGTTCATTTCTCGATGGTGGCTCTTGTTATTCGTGAAATAAAAGTGATATCGATAGGTAAGTTCTTATATCTGTAGAAAACACGTTCTTCCTTTTGCTCTTTAACCAAGTGTTAATCCAAGTAACTAGTGCTGACATGTGGTTCACACTTGTAGTAAAATGTGTGAATTTAATAAGAGTTAGGAAATAAACTTCACACTCCCTCGTCATTAGTTATCCAACACAAATGCTGTTAACTAAACTGGATTTTAGTGCTACCCCCACCCCCCACGTGACTCAACGGTAAATCGCAGACTTTTCAGGGTAAAACTCGTGTTTTCATACCCGCATTGGGCAGATCACAGATAGCTCATGGTGTAGCTTTGTGCTTAACAAGAAACGTTTTTTGGTTGTTAATATCCATCGTAAAATTCATCTGTTTTAGTAAGATAATCCAAGAACTGTTGGTCAGCTCATTTGGCTCTTTTAGTTGTTTGTTACAGATGGACTCGTTGACCATTGTCAAGTTCTAACAAAGTTATTGTTACTAGTATGGAAAATTAAATATATTATAGTAATCCTCTACATCCTATAAACGAATAGGTTAAAAATACACGAAACTTGGCAAGCAAATTATCCAAGAAATTTCAAGAATGAGGTGAATGCATTAAATGTAAAAGATTTCAGTCAATTAAACGTTAAATTTTACGTTTAACACGTATATTCACAGACAGACTTGATTACTAATGGAATAATTAACTCGTGCAGCCTTCACCAGGGGGAGCTAAAACACGTTTAGAAAGCGACCATGTGGTTTGAAATAACAGTTACCTGCCAGTAACACCGTTATAAGAAAAATAATAATATGAAATACTTACCATATCTTATAATCAAAATAACATATAGTTAAAGTGAGTTTTCTATATGTTTCACTCTAACACAGTCAACACTAAAAGTTTCTTAATTACAAAAAGGGTAATCGTACTTTAGAAGAACGATGATGACGTGTTGCCGGACATGAAAGTTGTGGGTTCATTGACGACATTCTTGAGACCTGTTTATTTGGTTTATGGCGAATTCCTATTTGACAGCGCAATGCCACAATGAATAGACTTATGACCAGGGTAAAACGTCCCAGCCTTTTCCGAGGAAGGATATTGTAAAGCGAAATTATTAACCTTTGCACCACTAAAGGTCACAACATTTTGAGAGCTTCTAATATTATTAATGGAAGAAAAGCGTTTAGGATAGCAATGAGCTTCGAATTCACACCTCAAACAACACCTTTAAGCTGGGCATATCTCCTGGTGCCATTACCAAGATAATAAAAAAAGAAATTGACAAAAGTGAACGTTTACAGCCACATCTCAAACTGATGGTTGTTTTAATGAAAAAAGATGACCGAGGAAAACTAGAACAACAAGAACCTCGTTTTATAACATACCTATCTGATCCCACAGCTCCACTAAACTTTTGCCTTTGGACTTCTTTGTCTCCACCCCTACCCCCCGTAGCTCAGAGGTAAGTCCTAAAGCTTATAACGCTAAAAACGAGGTTTCGATAGTCATGATGGACAAAGCACAGAGAGTCCATTGTGTAGCTATGTGCTTAACGACAAACTAACAAATCTGGTCTTGCCGACGTCCAATGGAGTCTGTGGAAAGTTTTCCACGATGTTTGGAAGCCAATGTCCAGTGGAGAGTCTGTGGAAAGTTTGACAGGGTGAGTAGAAACCGACGTCTAGAGGAGTCTGTGGAAAGTTTTCCATGATGTTTGGAAGCCAATGTCCAGTGGCGAGTCTGTGGAAAGTTTGACAAGGTGTGTGGAAACCGACGTCTATTGGAGTCGTGGAAAGTTTCCACGATGTTTGGAAACCGACATCTAGTGGATTGATTGTGGAAAGTTTGGTATAACTGAAGTTATGGTGTTGGGAAGTAGTACTTAATCGTGGTCATCAGCCTGGACACCACCGATAATTGAGGACATATTTCCAAAAGTAGCAATAGGACACCGTTCTTATCCTGGAAAAGTATTATGTAAAGTGCGTCTAACCCTTAGGATATTATGTTCTTAGTTCTTATTCTTTTCTACCGAGTTATTTAGAAGCTGTCGTTTTAATCTTCGTCTTAGCTAACGTTTTGAATTTTCTTTTGAACTTAACTACACCTTGATCTTTTTTATCCTCTACAACCCGCTAATTGTATAAAGAATAATGATGAAAGAGACTAATCCTTCCTTAGCCTAACTCTTCTTTGACAAAGTCATTTTAATCATATTTCACTATACTTTTTAGATTTTTTTGTAGATTTTGAAGATTACCCACTAAAAAATGTGCATATGATAAGGTGCATACTCATTCACAACGTGTGCAATAATGTTTTTATTATTTTGTTTTAAAGAATAATAATAATAATTAATTTTTATTCATTGAGCAAAAAAAAAAAAAAACAACAACAGATTATTTCCGCCAGTTTATGAAGCTCTATGTCTCTGAGATAAACGAAACAACGTGATCTCTGACCTTAGTAAACAACTTAAACTGTACTGGCGATTACATTGAAGTGTGCAATAAATATAAGTTATACATTACTGCATTCATTTAAAATTAACATCCAACCCTTTTAACTGTTGTAACAGTTGATTAGAAGAGTCTATAAATAGTTTATCACATTGTAGATGACTCGTTGCTATGGCATTTTTCCCAGGAACAGTTTTCAACCTACTTTTAGAAACAGTTAATTAGCATTTAAAAGTAAGAGAAGGTTCCAGAGTACACTGGTACATTAACTTATAATTAGATTGGCACACATTAACAATACTTACTTTCCACACCAGCTATTACAATGTTCCCGTAACTGCAAGTGTAATCTGTTTCACCTCCAGCTTGGTATTTAGTTCGATATGACTCCTCAGCTCGTAATATATGCACAATTATTTTGATAACTTTGTACACACATTTTATGCCTTTACCCTCATGTCTTTGTTCATATGGTTGTCATTAATATAAAAATATACGTATCTTTTTTTTTATACATATATATAATTAGAGGAGCTACAGAATCGATACGACACCTTGCGGAAACTTATACAGAGAGAGTTTGTATTTCAAGGAAGGAGTAGTACAATGGTAGGTATATAAAAAAAAAACCCGACAAAAAACAATTTAATATAATAACTTTTCTTTTCAAGTAATAAGTACAGTTTTATAAGCATTGAAGATATTTCAAAACACTTTCATTAAAGTGGATTTTCACTTTTAAGTTTTAGTACTGAGGGTGTTTAAGTTTTGGTTTTCTTATTCTATTTTTGTTAATCTTTAATAAATTTCCATCATAATTTAGCTAACTATCTAATCAAAAACGAAACCACGTAGATTACTGAAGCTTATCTTATATAACAAACTGACAGGAAGAAGGTAACATTATGAACTAATACATAAAGTTAAAGCCTAAAGGAAAGTATCTTTCGAGAATAAATTGATTGACTTACAACTACAAATTACATTTTAGTCCTAAGTGGTTTCATTCCGATTATGCTTTGGTTTTATGGTTTATTGAAATATTTGACTTTTGTGCTTTATCATAGAATGCATTTTTTTACTCACATTTTCAGTTTTAATGGATTAAAATTTGGTTTAGATTCAGCTCTGGTCTTGATGAATAAAGTTTCTGTAACCACAATCAGCTGAACCAAGCCGCATTTCAAATTTTCGAATAGTGGAACCAATATAACATCTCTTACAATGAGAACGTATATATTTGTAGATGGCGTAGGAAAACTTGAATGACGGGATACTGTCTTTGATGTAAAATAAGTTTTGAATTTTTCTTTGAGTTTTCAAAACCATTCTAACATTAGTAAGTGGATAAGTTCTCTTGATTAGTCTTTTAATTAAACTTTATAGAGAATGTACATGTCGCCAAATCACAGGGCAGTGAGTAACATTTAGTAACACTAATAGTAATAGATTAGTTATGTATCTGATCGTTTGATAATTTCCCGTAAAAATTCTTTCCGATGAAACTTTAGCGATACAAGTCCTTTCTTAAATAAAACTAGTTTATTCTTCCTCAATACAACTTTGCAATACACGGAATTTCCACAATCACTTTAACTTAAACACATGCTATAATTCACAATGATTTACACACTTTACTTACGGCTTGACTCGATTATATCCCTTATCAATTTCATCTGCCGTCTTATATACTAAAATAGAGGGCGTCTAGCAAACGCTGGGACGTTCGTGAGGTTCCCCGATCCTTCTAGAATATCATCACGTGTTACCAGCGTCACGTGACTTCCGCTGTCGTAACAGATTAAAGGTGTTGTTGTCTTCCTTCGAAAACTTATTAAACACATCATTAATAAATTGAAATAGAAACTAATTTTTTTATAAGAAGCAACTGATGTTGATAAGCTCTTTTTTTTAAAGTCTTTGATGAGTTAGTTATTCTCCATGGAAAGGATCATTGTGAAATGTGTATTTCCTATAACAACATTTAGCTCTAGTTTCATTTTCTATAATAACATTTAGCTCTAGTTTCATTTTCTATAATAACAT